GCCCCTGCCCCAAGTCACATCGCTTCTGCTCCCCGTACTTTCACATCCTTTCGCCAACAACCTGAAACCTTCTCTCTGTGCAAATCAAAAATTTGCTCAAATTCCCAAATTTTATGGAAGGCTAAGTCCTGGGAGGTGGGAAGGTAGAATAGGAACTAGTGTGTGTTGGAGGCTGAGGAGGAGGACGAAGACACAGGTTTGAGTCTGGGGTAAAAAAGAACACTTCATAGATCAGAGTGGTACCAGGACAAGGGTTCTTATGAGGAGAAGGCAAGTGGCTTAGCCTGGTCCCATCTAAGGGCCCTTTTGAAGGTTCTTTGGGAATGAAGCCAGCCAGGGCTTTCTTTGCAGAGGTTCAGCAGTGAAGCAGGGCAGCAGGGACTCAGGCTAAGCATTTGCTTATAGCCTCTGCTTGTGCAAAGCCATCAAGGTACGCCTGGGAGGGGACTCAGTGTACAAGCACGGTATGTGTGGACAGTCTCAGCACTGGGGTCACCTGCCGAGGACAGGGCACCAACCCAGGGAAGTCCCGGGCACGCAGAGACTGCTGGGAGTCCCGGGCACGCAGAGACTGCTTGGGGACCATCTCCCAAGACTCACTGTGCAGGAAGATCTGGTTTTGAAGATAGCAGGAGGCATTTCCTGAGCCCCTCGACAGAGAGTGCAGATAAAGAAGGGGTCCCATGCAGTGAAGACCAACTCTAAGATAAACTCATATCATCTGCAGCAACATGGATGGAGTTGGAAAGGATCACACTCAATGAAATAAGGCAGAAAGAAAAAGAAAAATATCAGATGGTTTCACTTATAGGTGGAATGTAGAAGAATCAAATAAGGCATCAGGAGAAAAAAAAAAGTAATTATAATAAATTAAAAATCAAAATCAACAGGCAACTATAAAGCAGAGACATTCTGCAGAGGAGGAGGAGAGAGAAGGACCAGGACAGGGGAGGGAAGAGGACAAGGGACTGTGGTGACGGGGCACGGGTGACTTGCTGGTGGGAATTTCACAGGGATCACACCTGAGGGGAGATGGCATACATTGTACAGAAGTGAAGGATGATGTAAAAGAATACATAAAATAATAATAGTAATAAAAGACCAGCTCTGTGCTTACCTACCCTGCAGCCACATGGCGACCCAGGCTGGAAAATTCTTTGTGCTAAAACCAAAGCCTCCATCATGGTGCTGCTGGGGGCTATCTGAAGGTTGGAGGTGAAGGAATCTCTGTTGATTTTGTTCGGTGTGATCATTACATTGTAGTTAGGAAAACGTCCTTTGGTTTTAGACGCGTCTTAAAATAATTTGGGACAAAATCTTAAAAGAGATTTTTAAGTACCTCTGTCAAAAAAGCAACTGATGCAGATACATACAGGCTATCATCTGTCGAACCTCAGAAATGGAGAGGAATGAGTGTGAGAAGGTCCTATATGGCCATTTTGTTGACATGACTGCAGGGAATGGGTACTCATCCTACTAGTCTCCCAAGTGACTTTCTGTGTGTCTGAAAGTTCTCACAATAAAATTTGCCATGTGATGAAACTGAGTCCCCTCTTCTCTGAAATAAGGCCGGAGGTATGTGGTGACCGACCCTGTAGTGCGTCATCCTGAGTGCCACGAGAATGGCTGTGCATCACAAAGTCAAACAGGGCAGTCTGGGAAGGCCCGGAGCAGATGCGGGAAAGGACAGGGTTTCCTCTGATCCCGTGGCTGTGTCTGAGAGCGGCCATGTGAGAGGCAGTCTCGGCCGCCTGCCCTGTGAGGCCCAAAGTCTCACTTCTGGAGTTGTCTGGTCGCCTCTCAGGACATTTCCTCCCCATCCCCAGGACTCCTGCCTGCCTGGGGGACAAACACTCATGATGTCTAGAGTATTAAGGCATCAAGGGGAAGGAAGGACATCGTTTCCACAGTACTTTCACTCTTTAGCCTCACAGAATCCTGACCAGAACACAAGTCACGAGGTCAAGGGCAGAGATTCTGCCCCGGTGGGGGTGGGGCTGGTCTCCAGCTCAGTCCCTCTTCCCAGTCCCCCTGTGCTTGGGCCAAGGGTGCTCACCTCCCTCCCAGCCCCTGGCCCTTTTTCTGGAGGAAACAGAGGCTTTTCCACAGAAATTAAAGAGAGTCTCACAATCAACCAATGTTGTCTGTTGGGGAGGACTAGGCCTCTGGACCCCAGCTTGGGACTCCTCATGGAAACAGCCCAAATCTCAGGGGCGGCCAAGACTCAGGGCCCCAGGATGGGTGGGGAGACATCTGTGATGGGAGTTTGTCCTGCCAGGACAGTCCTGGGCATTGTCCTGTCAGGACAGTCCTGACCACTGGGGTGGTCACTTCACTTGAGCAGAAGAACTGACCCCACAGCAGCATGACTCCTAAAGCCCACAGGGTGGCCTGCTGGGACACAGAGGCTTTGGCTGCTGTGGACAAGCTCTGGAGAGGCCGACGGCAGATGGCCAGGCAGGAGATCTATGTAAGTCAGGCCTTCAGGAGCTGGCGACAGGCGGTCACCTCAGTGAGTTAGAGGAGCCAAGCCTCACTCACCCCTGCCCCTCCTGGTTTCTGGGGTGGGAGGTAGGTGGGATTGGGGGGTGTGTGTGGGGGGGTACATTGGGAGATTCCTCCCCTTTCTGGGGTCAGGTCTACTGATCTGGCTGGTGGAGGCTGTTTTATAGCGGTAACCTGAGTGGGAGATTAAGTCCATTTGTATAAACTCTTCAGGGCATTGTCTGGCCTCCTCCAGAGAGCCTTCCTTGACAGCTCCTCTCTGCAACCCTTGCTCCAGTTTGGGGGGCCCACTCCCACCTGGGCTTTTCCTCCTAGGTCACAGGTCTGCTTTCGCCCACTAGCCTGAGAACCTTTCCAGGGCAGGACCTGGGTTGCTCCTGCGGAGCCCAGAGGCTGGCATTGCCCTGAGCGGTTCTGCTACAAGGGGGAAGCTTCTGTGCCTGCTAGGGGGGTAGGGGCAGTGGAAGTCGCCTGATGGCCCTGCGGCAGACTTCCTCTTCTAAGACACTGGAGGTTTTCTTTCCTTTTTTTTACTTCCCTGTTCAGAGATTTCCCCTTCCCTGACTGAGGTCAGGGCATCATAAATGGGAGTGATAAGGCCCAGGGCCTTCAAACTGAACTTTGCAGCTGCCATTTTATGATCCTGATAACATTTGCACGCCTCCCCTCTCACCCCTCACCCCTCGCTGGGGCAGGATGGCCTGGTGTTCATTCAGTGGGGGAGCAAGTAGGGCAAGAGGGAGATAGGGTCCCTCAACCCAGCTTGCCTTCACCAGTCTGGCCACGACACTTCTCTCATCTTGCTCTGGGCTGTGGGGAATGTGAGAGGGGAGAGACCTCAGCACTTGGTTATGGGGTGTTCAGAAGAGCCTGGGCAGAGAGGTGAGTAGGGCTGAAAGGGGGGTCCAGAGTGGGGAGGCCCCATGCGCTGGAGCAACCAGGGCAGGCCGTCCTGGGGAGGAGCTGGAGTTAGGTCCTAAATGAGTAAGTTCTGGAAAGACAGAAGAGACACTACAGGAGCCAGGCTTGCCTGTCCCAGGAAGTGGGGGCAGATAGAGCCTAGCAGGAGAGGGGGCCCACTGAAACCACTCTGCCCACGGGACCAAGCATTTCTTCTTGAGGAAGAAACAGGGCACCAGTGCTGGTCCCAAGATCCCTGGTAACCCAAGGAGACCTTGAATGATCAAGGTCCAGACTGGGGTGACCAGAGAGTTATTGGTGAGATCTGGGGGCTCTGTGACACGCAGGGGGCACGTGTATGTGGTGCCAGAGGGACAGGCTTAGGCTAGAACTTGGCGACGTTTTGCATGCTCAGAAGGTGGGTCTTATGGGCATCAAAGGGAGAAGAGGAGGAGGCTCCTGCCAAGTGGTATAAGGTCTGCTCCCAGGACAGGCTATCGCTACCAGTGCCCAACGTGTGTCAGGCATCAGCTAGATAGAGACAGATTCCTGCCCTGGCAGAGGTGAGGCAAGGGAGGTAACCAAGGGACAGAACTCTAGATTCCTCAAGTGCTGGACAGGAAGAAAACCAACCTCTGTTCAGGTGTGACCAGAGGGGGACAGGTGTGGCTCTGGGTGTTATGGGTCTCCTGTTGTCCACCTGGGTGGACCTACCCAGTCTTAATGTCTTCCCTGCACAGAGAGGGAGATGATCTATGTATCGTCTGTGCCAATTAGCCCAGGTGAGACTGAGACACACACACGTGGACACAAGTCCTCCCGGGGCACACAGACACACATAAATCAGGGGCATGCACCTGCCCACGTGGGACTGAAGCAGAAACTGCTTGCTGGCTGGTGGCACCCTGCTCAGTTTTCTCATGCACGCGTCCTCCTGATCCACACTACGCCAGCGCCTCAATGCTCA